TAACTTTGCCAAAATATAATTACATTTAGTTATGAATAGAATTTTTCCTATGAAAAGGAATTCAATATACATTTAGTTATGTTTTAAAGTATTATCTAGAAACTGAAACATTTAAATTGTCTTCCAAAATATATGCAATTAAGTTCTGATGAATATCAATAATTCTTTTTCTATATAAAGGAAGACAGTCAGATTTATAACTTATTCTATAAGTTCTTTTCTGTACTTTGTCTATGGGAAACTCATATAATCTTATAAATTTAATATCGCTAATAATACAGCCTGCAAAATTGTATAATAATATATAAAAATCAACTGAATTAAATATTCCATTAACACTAAAAGTTATATCAAAAGTATATGTATGCGTATACGATGGATTTGTATTTGATATATTCATTAGTTGAGAAATATTTTTCCATAAAAAACGATCATTATGCAGAGAAATATTATTTATCTTCTTTTTGGGAGCAATGTTCTGTGCACTTGGAGGCTCAGACTTAACAAACACATGAGTTAAGGCTCTTTCAGAGTGAAATTGTTTATCTAAACTACGATATCCAGTTACTATGTAAGTTTGAAAGGATGACCATGAGAATGGTTCAATTGTACTCAATATAAGATTTGCATATGCTGCCATTTCTGTAATTTTCCATGAATCATCCCAACGTCTTAGTGGATTATCAACGCATGTGCCACCCTGACCATTGCACAAAGTAACTAATATTTGACCATTATTTTTTAATAATTCTGTTGCACTGATAAAAAATTGTTTTAGCAATTCTCTATTTTTTTCTATTCGCATTTTACCACCCACATGTGGAAAATTAAAGATAATTTTATCAAATAATTTTGTTGCCAACATCGGATCTTTTTTTAAGTTCGTTGCATCAACATCTAATAGTACTTGAACTCCTAAAAAGAAAAGCATAGAATTCTTAATATAATTGATTACTATACAAATAGATAGCGATAGTATGCTGTTTAAGTACTGACCATTATACAATAGATATTCTATGTTTTTCTTTCCAACATCTTCACTAATATCAGCTTCATAGCATGTAGCACTAATCGTAATATTTAAATTAAGTTGGAATAGTGCAACAGAAAATGAAAAATTACCCTCTCCTACTAAAAGTATAGAGTCATTCTCGTTAAATAGGGTGAGTTTCATTGCATTAACACTCACTATAATGTCTCACTAAAAATTTGTATTAGGTTATATTGTAAATTTTTATTTATTAATTTCGGTTTCAATTAGAATAGCCAACTTACCTTGGTAAATGGTATGCAATATGTGTATTA